GACGACGGTGGAGGGGGCGGGGGCGGAGGCGGAGGCGGGGGTGGCATCAATTGCATGGCCTGCGTGCCGGCGTCGCCGAGGACGGCAAGTCCGCTGGCCGACGGCTGTCGCGGAGGCAACAACAGCGTGGACGAAGACGATACCGACGTCAACGTCGACGCCGACGCCGACGGCGAGGGCGACGGCGACGAGGCGGAGACGGAGACGGAAGAGGCAGCGACGCCGACGCCGCCGCCGCCGCCGTTGCCGACGACGAAGGCGAGAAAGGGCGAAGCGGCCGTAGACGAGAGGGCTGTGTTGTGTCGCATGGAGGAGCGCACACACGTCGACTCCTCGGGGCTGTCGGCGAAGCAACCGGTCGGCGAAGCCAACGAGCCCGGCGGGAAGCCGCAGCGCGACAGCGCCGAAGCCATCACTGCCGATCAACTCTCCTCGCCTTCACACACAGCTCGTCTGTCACCGTTCGACCCGGTTGACGGATACGTGTGTGTGTGTGTTAGTGTGTTTCTATGTGTATGTGTGTGTGTGTGTGTGTATTGGGTGTTTGGCGGGTGTGACGGGTCTATTGCGTCGGCATGAGGCTAAATCCTGGCCCGGCTCGCCCCAAGGGCATACCGGGCGCGAAGTGGTCGGGTGTGTTGGCCTGCTCTTCTGGACGGAGACACAATGACACACACGACTGTGTGTGCGTCCAGAGGGTCGGCGAGTTTGTGCTGTTGCCCGGAGGGCGTCAAACCGGTCGTGTCGGATTTTCCGATTCCTCAGTCTGTCTCTCGCTTCTCCCAGAGGGATTTGGCAATTGCCGGCGGCTGATCGGCTTCTGGTTGCGCCGACGACTCGTGGCCGAGACTCTTTTTGAGTGGATTATCGCGCGTCGGGACTCGAACTTGCCACGTCAAGCGTGGGAACTCGGTTGGATAGTCGCTGGGGCAAGCGACAACCGAAAGAGGGCTCTGGTTCGGGCGCACTGTTGTTCGGCCCGGCTGTGGTGGGATTAAAGGAATTAGGGCCTGTGCCCGGTTGGCCGGACTCGCGACACTGGCCGAGCCGGGTGGGGCGAAGTGGAGGGGAGTGGAGTGGAGTGGAGTGAAGTGGAGTGGGGTAGGGGGAGATGGGGCGGCTCGAGGAGGGGCCGAAGAGAGGAGCCGAGAATTGGCCGAAGCGCAGCAGCGGCGAATCAAACCGCTCCGCATCTCCTCGGCCCTCTAGCGCCGTCTCTTGCTCTCACTCTCTCCATCTCTCTGTCTCTTATTCTGGCTCTTCCTCCAGCCGGCCTCATGTCGCTCTGTCTGTCTGTTTCTCAGTGTCTGTCTGTCGACTGGCACGATTGGGCTGAACGGCGATTGGCCAATCCAACTTTGCTTTCCCACTTCGCTTCCCACCTCTGCTCCAACCAATCCCGTTTTTGCCAGACGTGTCGCCGTCACCATAACCTTGTCATTCTCTCTATCCTGCTCTGTCTCTCTGTCTCTCCATCCTACCAGTCTGAGAGACAGACTTGTCGGCGCCGCCTCTCAACAGAACACACCTGGACTGACGAGGCGGAGCGACGTGGCCGAATTGGCGAACGTCGGGTGGGCCGCGAGGCAGGCGGGGCGGCCAGCCGATAGGCGAAATGATCAACTGAGAAGACGAGAGGACGAGAGGATGAAGAGAAAAGAGGGGACAAAAGGGATTAAACTTGGCCATTTGCGGTCGACCAGACGAGCGTCCATCGATTGTTGGTACCGTTGGCGTGGTCAGGGGGAGCGGAAGGCAGGGAGGAGCGAGGTGGGAGGTGGGAGGGGG